TTTCCACAAGAAGAGATCTATTTTTACAGCTGCATTTGAAATTGACACAGAGGATATAGAAAATACCAGCGTTCATCCTGCACTTTAACAACAGACTCGTTTATAGGAGACCCACCCTTAAAATGAAGAAAGCTGTATAGAAGGATAAGCATCCAAACAAATCCTTGCAATTGTTTTAACAAGATGGCTTAACACAAACCTAGGAGGATGAATGAAACCCAATGAAATAAATAGAACAAAAATGAAGATATAAAATTATGAGCAACACATTTAAATGGCTTTTCTTAAAACAGGCATCTACTAAGATCTCAAAAAGACAATTATAGCTTTAATTTCTATCCTTATTAAAAACAGACTAGAAAATGGGGCTTGAAGAGACATACAGATGCACTTAACTAGAGGAGCCAAACAACTGCAGGTATTTGGTGGTGGTCACCCACAAATATGTCAGTTCCTTGTTGTATGTGAACGTTTTGGGATTAGGTCAGTAGCCCCGCTTTCTCCTTTAAGTTATGCCAATTATTTTTAATATGAAAAATTATAATTATGATTGAAGAATGCATAGAACAAATAGCATTTCATCAGCTCTTTTTATGACCTACATGATGCATTGTGCCTCACTGCAGTGTGAGGCACTAAGAAGTGGTGAAGGAGACAAAAGTGTGCCTGCAATTTGCCCCTATGAAATATCCACCTGCAGCTCATGTCAGGTATTCCTGGCTCCCAATAGCCCACTGGTCTCCTTTGCATATTTAAATTTTCTAGTAAGCCAAAGTGCATCCTGTCCTCACAACAAAGGGGAAGTTCAACTTTCAAAGTGATTTCTATCTAGCTTAGCAATTTAGATAACACTGTGCTTTGGGGCTGCATTTGACTCCTAGAAGAGACTTGTAGAGGGGACAAGGTCCTTCACCTCCATGGTCCTTCACCTCCATCTGACTTGCACACAAGATAGAAGTGGTGTTTTTCCTCTTCCCAAGTCAATGTTCTCCAATGCCAAACTCTGCACAGACTATTCATCTGTTTGAGCAAAATTCTGGCCATCAAAAACTGTGCCCAGTCTTATGTTTGAGTGAAGAGGGTAGATGATAAACAATCAACCAAAATAAACCCAGCCCCTTGTTAGACACCCAACTAAGATATGACTCCAGGCTGCAGAAAAAAATTTAGGTTGCACAACATATCACCTCTCTCATGTCCATTATTGTTCACAATGTTCATGTCCTTGTACAGCTTTATGCTCTCTGCACTAATTCCTAGCACCTGCTAGGAAGGCAGATGCTGCCATGTTCAAAAGAGATGCAAGTTCCAACTATAATGACACCTGAATAAGGGCTAAATATGGTGGTATAGCAACCCTCCATGGGAGTTTGCAGAGCTTTGGCAAACAGCAAGATGCTCAGAGGACAGCTAAAATGAGAGTCAAGGAGTTATTATTCTCTAGTTTTATGGCTTCTGTTACATGCCCCTGCAGAGAACGCAGGGACCAGCACTCTCTATCAACTCTGTAATAGAGATATCAGCTCACAGATAACTGAAGCCACTAACCCAGTCATGTCCTTCCTTGACAAGCAGTTTGGGAGAAATGGAAGATGAACACAGCCCTCAGTACAAAATCCACCCACTTCTCTAAGCACACCTTGCTGATTTCTCAATTCCCACCCCAAGCAGAATCAGCCTTAAGTGGCAGATTTCTGTTATGTTTCCTTAAGACCTCTCTACAGGGAATTATATGATTTTGCAATCTTTTAAATTATGTTTCACATGAGAATCCTGAGGAGCCTTGTAAACATTGATGGTAAATATTATTCAATACAGTACTCTCAGACAAAAGGGATTTAGTAAGATGTCCAAGATCATGCAAGTTGCCTGTGGTTAAGCTGGCACCAGAAATGACCGACTTACACATGCACAAAGCAGAGATTCTTTGATGTGAGGAGCAGTCAACTTTGAAAGTCTATCTGATTTTTTTACTTCACCTTCACCACCTTGTATTCCATACTTGTTGTGCAGCTCTTCATTGCTATTGCTTACTTTATCCTTCTGAGAAAGAACAATAATTTAAATATTTTAAAATTTCTTTATCTAACAGCCAAATTTAAATCTATTTCAGTACCATGGCTGATCTTGAGAAAGAAGCAGAGAGGGTTTGAAGCTGGCTAAACTAACCCAAACCTAGGAGGCATGTATTTAGTCCTGCTTTTGGCTGACATCTTTTTCAATCAGACACTCTGTGTGCACTATGTTCTATGTTCTACATGTATATATGGGCACATGCCTCCAGTACTTTTATCTGTTAGTCCTGAAGCAGTTATAAAAATGTGCAGGTCATCACAATGGTATTAGGGAAACAAAACCACTAAAGGAAAAAAAGAGCACAGAAGCTGGTCAATTTTGAGGTAAGCTAATTAGGTAAAACATCAGCTGATAAAAATCAAAGTAATGTTATTTTTTCAGCCAATGTTTCTTGCTATTCCAATTTTGCCATAAAATATTGCTCAGTATAAACTTTTTGCTGACCAGGCTAAGCATAAATATTTAAGAACACTAAGCCAACTCTTATGGCACTAACACAGGACAGCATCAGCATATAGCACTATCAGAAACAGAATTTTACTTCCAACCTGATAGGCCAACAGGGTCTGCAAATCCTTGCAAACATGCTCAGGTCCTATGGAAGGTAACACTTTGCTTGTAGGGAGACTTCATGATCTATTTGTGCCATAAAAGTTACCTACAACTAGATGATCAAAGCAGCTGACTGCAGAGCTTTGGGGAAGGTGGTAATATGGAAGACCCCAGAGCACTTGCACCACAGACAGTCTCAGGTATTCTCAGGTATTTGGATGAGCTCTGTGCTCTTCTTATAACAATTGCAGGCCAGGATCCAGAATCCATGAGAGTAAATGACAGATACATTTCAGAGAGTTCTCTAAAACAGGTAATTCTAAGACATGGTATGTCTCATAGGTGGGAAGACAACAGCACTTGTTTAAATAATCAGAAAATATGATGTGTCCTGGGAAAGCCCCAGACAGTAAGCTTTTTTGTTGCTCTTCTTTTTCTTGGCTTTGCAAACACATTACATAGCAATTGGAAGGTGACATACAGAGGCCAGCCAAAAAATGCAAACTCCATGTTTTGCTGCAGCATCTGATCTTCTGGACTTTGGGCTACTCAGTTCCCCAAGGAGTCAAGCAGTGATAATAACCCATTTAATGAGGAATAATGTGCCAGTGTACTATATTATACAATACATTGTAGCATATACACATGGAAAACTGCTGATTTTATACAGCCTCTTACTACTAAACCTATTATTATGAATGATGATTGTCCATGTAAGATTAAATCTGAATACACTTATAATGTTGCTAGTGTACAGGAACTGTCAGTTAAATAGCAAGATACAACAGTAGAAATTCAGAAACTGTGCTGCAGATACAAAATTATACAGGTTAACTTTAATAACTTGTAAGTAATTAATACTTACAATTACTTATCAGCAAAGATTTTTTTCATTTAAACTGAGCCTGCTTTATAAATTTCAATGTTTCTTCCTTGAAGAATTGATTACCAGTGTAAATCTTAACTATCCTGATACCTCCCCATTCCTTTATACTATTTAAGCAGTCTAGTTGGTAATCAGAGAGTGGATGATGAATTTGGAAGCTACCACATATTTTAAACACTTGTCCAGTTCTGTGCAGGGATCCTCCAGGGTGTTAAGGCTATCCTGTACTATGATAGAAGGCTTAAATATAAGCAGCATGAAGAAGTCTAGAGCTTGTTCTGTAAGACAACTGTGGCTGCAGCTGCACTATGGCAGGTATATTTTATTTAGTAAATTATTCAGAAACAAGAACTTAGTGGGTAAGAGTTGAAAACACAGAAATCCATGACTTCCTACTGGTCATTCCCTTCATCAAATCAATACAATAAGCCTGTAATGACAGACCAAGAAAATAGGAGCTCTCAAGAGACAGGAAAGGGTATGGACAGGTTAGTAGGAGCTGGTTGTCTCAACCCAGGTGTTCATCTGGGATTAGGAAAACTCCAACAGCTGCCAGACTGTACAGTGCACTTGCAGAAGCACTGGCAGAGTGCTGAAGAGAAGCGTGCACAATCCTGAGATTGCTGACACAGAAGAGTAAGAGGCTGTCTCTGAGCACAGGAGCTAAGGGTGGAATCAACACTCTGGCAAACTTAATAGCTCAGAGACACCAAGAGCATGCAACTCTACACCAGAGCGTTTCAGAAATGATTTGTTACAGCCAGAAGAAAGTGGATGCCCCATTTTCAGCAAACAACAGAAGAGATGGCACCGTTTCCTTCAGTGCCCGTTTATTTGGTTATGGAGCTGATCCTCCATGCTAGGATGCTGGATGTCTCTGCAGCACTTTTAACCTTCACCAGCCAAGGAATTTCAGTTCTGCAGCCCCAGTGGCACCTGACCAACTTCATGGCCAGCATTAGGAAGAAAATGAACAAATGCTTTTTCTTTTTTTTTCACATGGCAATGTCCTTAAAGAAATCAAGAGATCAGTGCAGAGTAAGCAGTTCTTCCCTCAGATCGTCTGTCCATGTTTTAGGCAGAACTAAACTAAGATACAATGCCTTGTGAAGAACTTTTTAGTTAGTCCATTAGTTCTCTCATTCAGAGCAAAAGTGGGATTATGTCAAATATATGTGATCAGATGATTTCCAGTAGGAAAAGGCTTAATATAATACCTGAAAGCAGTTAGACACCCTGTATTCTACTAGCAAAGAGTAGTGGATCTGCAGTGGCTATGTAGAAAACCTTGTTGGCAGATGATCAGAGATAATCAGAGAAAGACTGGATATTTTAAAAAAAATTATATCCAAAAATCAAGGAGAATTATTGGTTGACAATTTCTCCCTTATGCTAATCCATACTTCAGTCAAATCAGACATTCAGAATAGCTATTCAGATATTGCATAATTCTAACCACCTCTGCTAAGAGCCATATAACCCTTACCCTCTTTCTTCCCAGATGTTGGATGAGAGTGAGAAGCTGATTGTGATGGGTGCCTGACCGGCATCAATTTGCACAGCAGGAGCTAGACAGGAAGAAAACAGATTGCAGTGCTTAGATCATACATTAAAGGGCGAGTCTGCTTTCAAAAACACAAAGGTGCTTTTGGGGTTTTTTTGCTTTGTTTTGTTGTTTTTTTTTTTAAGAGGAAGACTACAGTAGCACCTAGAGAGCTGGAATGGGCTTGACCCCAACCTGTGGTTCTGCACTGAGGATTACTTACACTTGCTGAATGAAATGCTCTGGATGCAAATATTTTTGCTGGCGCAATATGTTATGACTCTATCACTCACCTTGAAAGAGGAGACTAAAAATGCTTTGATAAACGCTTTGAAACATTGCCCAGTTTCACTGGCTTTGTTCTTCTAAGTGTTTGTACCTCTTGCTTCAGCTGCAAAGTTATTTCATCATGTCCTAAAACACTGCTATGCAGAGAACTGCAGTATAACAAGCTGTAAAGTGGAGCATGTTGGATTAAGCAGCCAGCAGCCAGCTGAGAGTGTAGACTTAACAGCAAGTGCTTTCTACCCTTTGGAAGCCAAACATTGCAACACAGCACATTTGCACAGCATGACCTTACCTTTACTTCTGAGAGACATGTTTGGTGCTGTCTCAGGTTTGCTTCCTTCCTTTGCAGTGGAGGCTGGTAAAGCAAAGCTTTTCTTGCATTGCTCTCTTCTGGTGGCAGTGATTTCACACTCTACACTTGGATTCAAGAGCACCGCTTCCAACCTCCTCTGAGACTTGGCTCCACCTGGTTGCACACTTTTGTACATTAGTGACTTCTGGGGCTAATTATGGTAATCAATGCCCTCACTGAGCTCTCTCCAGCAACAGGTTAGCATGTTGCCAGTCTCATACCCAGCAAGGAGCTGCAATTTCTGTCCAAGCTCCTGCAATATGCTGGCAGCCAGGGACTTACTCCATATGTTCAGTGGCGAGGGCTCATCTACCTGTGCGATCAAAGATGTTGGGCAGATCCTTGGGCTTGAGCCATTCAGAGTGGTTTCACACAGGGACACATCATAAAACTGGATATTTTTATTTTCTAGTTGTATCACTCTTTAAGAAAGCATCTTCATGCCTTTCAGTATGCTCCTCTGTACAGATGACACTCCTGCCTTGAACTGGGCTGAGGAGGAAAAACCAGCTGTATTATTCAGTGAGAGCAGTCCCAGGTAAAAAGCCCAGAAAGCAGACTGGTTATCTCTGCTGCCACAGTCGTGTGTGACCAGGCTGGCAGTGTGCCCCCACCTAGCTGAGACTGAGCCACATTTCCTCCCAAGGAAGACACTCCTAGACCAAGCTTAGAAACACCTGTGCAGAGCAGCATCAGGAGATTTGGTGCAGCCAATGCCAAACCAGGATCCCTGCTGAAGTGCAATACAATGTAATTTAACATGGTTATTGATTTCTCCTCTCCTATGTTAAATTATTTACTCTTGCTCCAGAGAATGATAACCAAATAAATCTAAACTTTTCCTTTCTTAGATGTCACATGCAAAGAACTTTTTGATGTAATAAAACTTTGAGTGTCTAAAAAGGTTTTCTCCAGCAGCTACTCATTCTATCTATCCTATTTTCTGTTGGGCTTTTTTTTTTTCCCAGTTTGGAAACTGTGATTTTCTGTGGTTTTGAGAGGGTCATATTTATTATAATTAGAGGCCTGCCAATGTGGAAAATTTCTTAATAATTTTTTTGAGTTCTAAAATCTAAAATACAAAGAAAAGTCTTAGTCTTCATGCCTCTAAACACAAACAAGCTTTGCTGTAACCATGCAGTTATCCTTTCCAGTTTCAATCGTAGCTTCCTTCACTCTCTGAATACATACAAATAAGTTCATAAACTGAAAGAATCTAGAGTAAATTTCTGAAATTCCAAAGCAAGTTCAGCAAAACAAGGTTTGTCCTTGGAACAAACATATCAGTTTAAAGCAAATGTGATGAGATCTGAACTTAAAACCCAGTTATCCTGGGAAGTCACACCAGAGGAATGCTGTGAACACTGGCTCCCAGTACATTAGTCAGCAGACATGAATGTCATGCAATCCACAGAGCTCTGCATCCAGCAATATGCTCCTGTTCAGTCCAAGCCAAAACAATAGAACAAAGCTGTTCTGTGGCATTATATAACTAACTGTTCAGAGTTTTTAAATTCAATATATTAGACTCCTGAAATGCTGGCAGCAGAAATGAACAGTAGGTATCACAGCTCAAGGAGGTAGTGTTAGATGTAGGACACTGTCACCTTCCCACTTCTCTCTCTCTGCTCACACTGCATGGCACAGTGCCAGAGTGCCAGAGTGGCTCTCCTGCTCTGTCCTGGCCACATCTACCTTGGGGGTAAGTTTTGTGCTTTCCTTGGAAAAGTAAGTTCCTTGCTCCCACCACTAACGGTGTCACACCATTACCTAGCAGTAAAGCCAGGGGGAAGAGCTACAGTGAAATACAAGAACAGTTCTGCTTTCTTGCCTTTCTCCTTCATTCTAGTTTTCATCTACAGCAAAATGAATGACTGTTTCCAATTTAAGACTGGAGGAGGTGTGAAGGTGAAATAGAAGACTATCCTGGATATAAAAGAAAATAACTGGTGAGAGAAATACACAGGTACTGCCTCCAGCACTGCAGCTGTAAACATCACTTCCATTACTCCCCAGAATGCAGAAGGGGTGGAGCAGAGAACCCAGAGGAAAGCTGTTACATCAGCAGGCTGTGGAAAAGAAATTGATAGTGTTTTTCACACTAAATTACTTTCTGGGTGAGGTCTTGAAAATTTTCTTCAGACAAGAAAAGAACCTTCACTGTGTGAATAAGAATGCACTAATACATCAGTGTATTAAATTATATAAAATTGATTACAAACTCAAATTCAAAATATTATATATATATATATATATATATATAAAAAATTTATTTATTATATATATATATAATTTAGGTTCATACCACTCTAAATTAGGGTTTTCAGGAGATATGACCTGCATTTATTTCTGAGGCTATACAATGTCTCAGTTTGTTATCTGAAAAAGAAGACTGCTTCCATCTGCAGCCATGGCTCAGTGAGTCAATCAAGAAAGATGCTTTTATTATAAAAAATAATTTTTGACTCCATCATAAATACCCAAATATTATTTAAAAACAGCAGTCTAGGGTCTCTGTAGCCTTTCATCCCTTACCAAGACTAGGCACAGGCACAGAGATGTGCTGTCAGGGAGATGCTCACTGCAGCATGTCCTAATGTATTTCTAATTTCTGCATTCCTGCCTAATGCAATAGCTCCTTGCCACAGAAATTTCAGGAGTCTTCCTGAGGCACTGACTTGTTTTGTTCACATGAATCTTGTCGTTTGAAAGCAACTGGAAAAGTAAGCTCTAAAGCTGACTTGCTTTCACATTTCACAGCATGCATCTATTGATGCAAACTGAGAAGCATTTGCTCTGTCCCAGTCTGAGTGCACACACAGCAGACTGTGCCTCCCACGGTGACTTTCACCACTCAGAGAGGAGAAATTTCCTTCTTTGCAGAAGCGCTCATGCATCCCTTGAAACCTGTCCTCCCAGGGACACAGATGTTGGGACACCAGCTGAGGCAAGGCAGTACATTTGGATCACAGCTGACAGGCTGTAATCTAACTGGTGTTCAGCAAAAAGAAGAAAAAAACTCCAATCACTAAGGAGCGTGGAAAGAAGACCACAGTGAACAGAGTTAAATGTGAATTTTTTGTCTGGTTTTGCCACGTTGATCTCACTACTTCATCTAGGTCATAAGAAAATTTTAGAGATGGCTGAGGAAGTACAAGAATCCTTTGTCCTCAGCAATGGATGACAAGGACCATCTTTCCTTCTAGAGTCCATAAGACGTATTTGCTCTCATGCAGGAAACATTTCCTTGTCTACTTCCAGCATTTAGGCCTAGTATTAAACCTCTAGTCAAAAAAAATTTCCCATTGACTTCAGTGAATTTTTACAGCTGAGTAAGGACTATGAGTTTTGGCCCTCAGCTAGGAAAAAGAGTATTAAAGTGTCATAAACACATAAATAATGGCATCAGTCCCAGAAATACAAACAGAAACAAATATAACATCCCACTGCTCAACTTTTCTGGGGGCTGATACAGGCCACTGACTCCCTAGCTGTCCTTGCACACCCTCCTTCCAGGATTAAACCACAGCTGGCAGGGACAGCTCCCCCCTCCATTCCATGCCATTTCTTGACACTTACATACGATTTGAAAACAAAACACGAAAGAAAACACAACATGCCCTAAGAAAAAAGTCTTTTTCTGAAGATCATAACTGTGTTTGCTCGGAAAATAGTGCAATTGGAGCAGTCTCCTTAGAAGAAAAACAAGAGGAGGTGTCTCTTTGTGTTGTCTTTCAGAAAAGTGTTTCAAATCCTGCTGAATGTTTTGGACTGCATTCAGCCCTTCCCTTAATTCCCCAGCCACCGCCTGCCTTTGTCTGGGAGGCCGGAGAAGAAAAACAAATAGTGAGAAAACAAAAACCTCCAGCTCAAAATGGTACTCACAGGTCTCTCCTGGCCTACAGCCTGGCCAATGCCTTCCCCTTATTGTGCTGTCTAGTACAGCATGCAACTGGGGAAAATAGAATCCATTAATATAATGTGTATGAAACGCTAGGAACAGCTGACTGGCAATAACAGAACAAGGACAAAAAACTCTGAGTGGTAAGGGCATTCTAAAAGGTGTGTGTCACCCCCTGCATCCATGAGCTTAGACCCTCTTAAAAGCAGCCAGATGGGGAATGTGGAACCAGTTGTGGGCCTGTTCATGTTAATGTTTGCTTTGCCAGTGCAGTCAGGCCAGCTTCTTACTCCCACTTTGCAATTTTTTTTTACAGAGCATTCCTATTTTTGCACATTGGTTATCATGACATTCCCCTCTTAGTTATCCATATTCTCTTATATATGGTGCTAATTCTGGGTCTGGAAGCAGCATAACCTGGAAAATGCTTAACTTTGCTCTGTGCCCTCTCCCCTGAGAGCCTGATGAGCACAGCCTTGGTCCCATAACACCATCTCAAACTGTAGAGACTGGGTTAATCCTGCTTTTTCTAGCTCACTCACAGCTTGCTTTCACTCTGCTGGGTTTTATTTCATTCTATGCTGAGTTAAGCGTGACACCACTCTACAACTTATTTTCAGCCTACTCTTTTAAAGAAAGGAGGTTTATGTGGAGGTTCATTTTCAGACAAAACACGCCCAAACATAATGACACTTGGACACACTCTCCAAAAATTGTCAGCTGAGTAAGCAAGAGCAGCTCAAAGAAACGTCCCCACCTAAACAGAGACAGGCCAAACTGCTGAGCCACGTGGCACCAGCCATCTCTCCCTCTCTGTTGGGGTATCACAGTGACTGTGAATGGTGCCAGAGTCCATTCTGGGATGGAAAGAAATAAGGCTCTGAGAAAACTGCCTTTGTTAGTTCAGCTGACCACAGAAACATTTATTCTGCTTGTGATTTTTTTTTCCTCTGATGCATTTCCAGATCTCATGTCTGCAACTTCTGCATGAGATTTATTCTTATTTTATCTGTCTCCAATATGTCCCCTTCTGTCTTCCCTGGGCTTCTGTAGACTTTATGGACTCCTTTACCTGTCACTTCACTTCCAGAGTCAACAAAATCCATGGTCTGGCAATCTGTTTTGGCACACACCAGATCAAATGGAACAGCAGCACAATCACTCTTTTTCAGGCTTTCAAAGGCACTGCAGGGGTCAGAGCAAGGGGTAGAGCAGTCTGATGTATGAGAGACTAATGGACTAAAGCAAACCACAAAATCACTGCTGTCAGATATCCGGGGACCATTACAGTGCCCAACTACAATAAACACACCACAGGAAGATGTAAGATGACTCAAAATGGAGAATTCAGGGAACTTGATCATTGATGCTCCCCCCTTTCTCCTGCCACCATCCACAATAAAACCCCAATCCAAACCAGCTCTGTAGAGTCTGCTTCTACCTAATTAGAAGACTAGAATGGAAAGCAATAAATCCAGAGTGCTGTAGGCAGCATTAGTGCACATGCTATCGTGTCATCCATTGTCAGTGTGAGAGCAGTGCATGGAAATCATGCTGCCATGACACTTGCTGCAGCAGGATGGCCTTGGATCAGTACTACAGCATTAGTTCAGTCCTTCTGAGCTCTGTTCTTGCTGGGAATTGTATCAGGCCAGGAGTGAGGAGATGCCCATGGGTATGAGCCAGGGAAGGGGCAGATGGAAACAGCCAGCCTGGGTGGGGCCAAGGGGGCAGAATTTGTACCTCAGTGAGGAACCAGGCACTACCAGCTTTCCCTACCAAAGCCTGCCTGCAGAAGCGTTTTAAAACATAGCTATGCAACACCAGGCCTGTTTTTAACCTTTATATGTTATAAATTATAATGGCACTATATTATAACATGCTATGTTCAAGTATAGCAAGCAGGAAAAGTATTTTTCAGCCAGCATGGTTATACTAGTAGGAAACCTGTGAAAAGTATAAACTCAGTAAATTAGTTTTAAGGACTGGGCTGATTTAATACTTCATTAGTGGGTGCTGGCAAATTTGGCATTTTGCCTTGGTTTTCTACAGAGTAGTGGAAATGGGACAAGGCAGTGTCCTTATCATGTATTAGAATCTTCCCTTTTTTGCTCTATGTGACTTGGAACAAGTGATTTTTTTTTCCCCTTGTATTATTTTCATTCTGTACACCAGTTATCTCTCGCCTTAGTCACATTTCCTCAGTGCTCTCAAATGGTAAAAGTCGAACACTCTTACGTGCTGTAGGGGACCGTAGCAGCTGTTCCTCCGGAGGGAAAGGGCTGTTTTTATGAGATTTCTGCTTTCCATTTTTTATCGCACCGCGCAGCCGGGACCGACCCCG